AACTAATAAAATGGTTAATATTTGTTATTTAACAAATTAATATCTATTTATAAATAATTATTAACAAATATTATAATCAACTATTTAAGAAAAGATTATAAATTAAGAAAATTATAAGTAAAACATGTAAACTTAACAAAATTATGGGTGATAACAATCCTAACCTTTTAGAGTCATGTAGGCAATAATCTCACCCAAAAATTAAATCTTCTATTTTTATGAGTCAAGCCAATTAGTTAAAACCTTTACAAGGGAGAGGGTGAAGAGAAGAACAAGAGTTTAAAATTTGGTTATACATATAAGAAAGTTTTTTTTTACTATTAATTAAATTAATTACTCTACAACCCATACTTATTTTATATGCTTAAAAAATAACACAATCAAACATCAAATATATGCTAACAAATCAATGAAGCTCTTAGAACCTATTTTATTCATTGTTCATAAAAAGAGAACCTGTTTTATTGATTTATTATTGTTTCCATCTTTAAAAAAAAAAAAAAATCACTTATTATTTCAATACACAAACTTGCAAAATGAAACGATCGATCAATGAATCCCAAAGCGAAATCACTTAAACTAGGGATTCAAGGAATACCCTTCTTATAAATAAAATAAAAAAGAAAAATGAAAAATGAAACCAAGCGGAAAACGGGCCAAAAAAATCAAGCCCAAAAGATTTGGTGCCCCAACCGTTGTGGCAACTTTGGCCATAAACAATAGAAGTCCCTTCTCTTTTTGGCCATAGCAATAAAAGTCCTTTAATTATTTCCTCTCCTTTTCCTTATTCCTTCAATTTAATCAATTATGTAGGGGGGAAATGGTTTATTTCTTGTCTAAATATCTTTCTATTTTCATGCTAAGATATAACTGCTTAACCGATGGTAGTTTTACAAAAAGGGAAGAAAGTTTAGAGTGAAGTTAACTCCATTTTCAACCATAATTAGAGTCCTATATGGTGCAATCATCTAAATAGTCTAGACTCCACAATCCATCTTTGAGAAATGGGTGTTTTGGTCATTTGAGTAATATTAAAGATCATTTATAAGCTTAGCCACAAAAAGTTTAACTTTTGCATACTCTTATATACATTTTTCAATCATATAAGTCCTGTAAAATATAATTGAGAAATACATGTCTCAAATATTATGACAAAATATTTAAGGTTCTAAATGTAAAACATTCACGTAAATCAATTGTAAATGAAGCAACCGAGTTTCACGTTGCAAAATCTAGCTTGTTTTTGCCCTATTTGGGTCTTAAAGCCACCCAAGAAATGATATCTTCCATGCCCGCATTGCTTGCTTAACCATCACCCTCAACCTAAGTTTCTTACCATTATCTCTATCAATTTCTTTGAGCTAGGTGCAATAAGATAGCTAGTTAGGTTGTCAATTCTCATCAACGTGTGTCTATCGTTTGTTGAATACTAATTATATATTGATGCAACATTAAGACTTTCCATTGAAATGAGTTAAAAAGATATTGAGAACATTAAAACTAAATACCTTTTTTGTCACTATGAGAAAATCATGTTTGACTGATTTAATATGAAGGGGTTTTGGTGCAAATTACATTGCAAAATTCATAATCATAATCATAGTCACAACTAAGGGAGTAAGGATGAAACTCAATGTCAAGCCACAAGTATGTTTCAAGCAAGTGGTTTCTTCTAAGAGTGAAGGAGAGAGCAGTGCTACTTGGATATCTTAATTTACCTATTTGGGTGTTTTCATTTTGTAAATGGTTGATAGTTTTTGTTGTGATATCATAAAAGTAGATCAAAGGAATTTTAAGGTAAATTCAATATCTATATCAGACCATCTATTGCTTTCCACCTTATTTGATGTTCATACTTTTCTTTTTATTTCAAGCCTATTAACATTATTTCCTTTAAGTTGGATCAATATCGAATTGTAAAACACCAACTATCAAATTAAAAGGGGCTACCTTGCCTCTAAAATTAGGAATTTACGTTGATCTAATAATTAGTGTTTTGTACACCAATATAGTTTAAAATGCAAAACATTTTTTTAGTTTTTTTTTATAAATAATGTATAAATAAAAAAACAATTGTGTGGTTTGAATTGCATCACTTAAACTATTGTAAAATATTTAAAAAATCACTTATTATTCCAACACACGATCTTGCAAATTGAAAGCATGGATTAATGAATCCCAAAGGGAAAATATTTAAACTTGGGATAAAAGCTAACATTCAAGCTGCCATAAGAAGGTAGCATCAACATTCTCATCATTGCAATACAAGCAAGGATGTTGCTCGAACCATTATGCCTGTAAAACCTTCTTAGCCATCATCACAACTTCCTTGTTGCTTAACAGACCCAAGTTCTCCTTCAGCACCATCTGCACCGCATTGCTAAACACTCTAGATGCCTTCCCTCTGCCCTCACTCTCACTCACGTTTACAAACGTCTCATTTGCTTGGAACCCATTTAGCAAAATGCTTTCATCCAATTTGGAGAACATTGAATCTAATTTGTCCTAGGGAAGACGGAATTTGAGGCTAGCATTAGCACCAAAGGATTCTAAAAAGTGGATGCTGATGTTTAAGGTGTTGATGCTTATGAGTGAAGACAAGTGTTGCAGTACAGATTTGAAGGGAATGGTTTTGGGCTTGTAAGATAATGGTTGTTTTTCATTCTTTGTGATAGAAGATGGTCCAATTTGTTCCTTCTCCTTGTCAGTGAGACATTCATTGTGACACGAATCCAAAAGGATTGTGAAGCTTAAGCCTTCGGGTAGATGGTTAACTAGTTGTCTCAAGTCAAGATCTGCATATAAGAGCTTAGTTGACTTAGTTCTCAAGAATTCTAATTAATGCAATAACAAAGCAGTTAATTTCTAGATGTATTAATGCAAAATTAGAAAATTAGAGCTTACCAATGATTAGACTGAAGTCACGAGCACAATTACCTCATCTTGTCTAAAGGGATGGCCATGTTTCACAGAAGGAATCCTAGTTCCATGGCCACTATAGTGGAAAAACAGGATATCCCTTACTTTATCCTTATACACTATCTGGTCAAGTGCCGCCTTGATGTTGGCACTAGTAGGCATAACCGAGGACCCTGGTGCATCAGTTAGGTGCTTGATATGAGCATCATCAAACCCAAACCTTTTCACCAGGACATTTTTCATAGCCAACATGTCATTGATGCATCCATTCAGCTTGTTCTTGGTGTTGGGGTAATTACAGCTCACTAGAGTAGCCAATCTCTTCTTAGCTTCTCCATTTCCTCGAAATCAGTGCTCTGATACCTTTCAGATCTTCTATTCTTATAGGTAAGGAGATGACTTGAGAAATGGTTCAAGCAATTGCCCTATCAGGTTTAGTTTGCCTTTCAAGTATGACAAGAAAGGCTTTTTTTATTTTTTATTTTTTTAATTTTTATGCAGAATATGGTAGGCTTCGGCTTCCAACATGGCTGTGCATTAATATATAGAAGAAGTGCACATGGTTGTTCAAGAAACCTTTATGTTACACCTGCTTCAGTTGTGTTTATCAAACAAAAGCAATTTTTTTAATCAGATAGACAACATGAGAAGCTCTCTCCTTGTAATATGTGTGAGTGAATCAAGAAATCCCCAAAAATGTCTCCATATTTTATGGATGGGATTTTCCTGAAAGTTCATTCACCTTAACATGATAAAGATCAGTTATTTAAGGTTCCAACAAACAAGAAAATGTTGTAAACTTTAAAGCAACTGAATTAATCATCAAATAATAAGGGACTTCATTCATATCAAGCACAAGCCAAGGATTGTTCAGACATGAAGATAAAGAAGATGAGCCATTAGAAGCTAAATTGTTTAACATCCAAACAACTAGTACCATACACAACAAAATTTCAAGATAGTCTAGAAAATCATATTCGTAGATTGAAAATAATCAAAATGATCCATTTCATTAGATTCTTCCGTTACACTACCAACACAATTCATGTTGTGTATTTGTCAAAAAACTCTAAGAAATCAACTTACAAATAAACATATGATAAATGAATGAATGGACGCTGATAATTGAATGACTATCAGAAAATTTTGATTGCATATATACTACATGTTTGATTTTGTAATCTCTATTATTACAATCAATAACAGAATAATTAACATGATTTTGATTCGAAGTTGTAAAAGGCAAGTGGAGGCATAGATTGAGCAATGACACCTAAAGATCTTTCTAGACATTGAAATTAGTTCTTAAACTGTTATAGTTAATTGTCATATCTTGGCATCCAATAAAGAATGTACTATGAAGGGGATCAATATTTACTAGAGCATGTGCTGTTCCTTTGGTACTAGTTGCAATAGCAACCTCATCCTGATAAATTATTGCTTTAGAATAACCTTTATTAGCTATCTGATGGTTTTCCAATTGCAATTTACTCAACATAAATATGGATATCAACTACACTTGAGCCATTTTCATTCCTAACTTAGTATCTATGCTATTTTCTATTCAATTACTTAAGCTGTCTTCTCTCACACTACATGACAAATAGTAGTGTCTGGCCAGTGTACTAACAATTGACATTACCACTAATATAATTAAAACTCTATATAAATGCATAAGATGTCCTTTGCAATTTCTATCTATACCACTACATCATATCAAGTTAATGGAGCACAAAAGATGAAGTATTGCACAAGAGAAATCAAAGCTGTAGAACTTCACACGTTATACATCCGTGCATAATAGTGTTGTTTTCCTTTTGTCCTAAAAGAAGTTAGTCTTTACTTTATAATGGAATATTTTGGAGGTGTACAATTGAACCAGAATCTAGTTGTAGTAGCAACCAACTTCACCATATGTATTGGTGCATGCATGCACGAAGTTAAATAAATTTAACAAAATGGAAAGGTACTTGGGATCCAATTAAAAGTTGAATACCTCTGATTCTTAATGCTTTGATTAGCAAGAGTTTTACCTTTATTACTTACAAGTAAAGTTAACAAATTTTTATAATAGAAATGAATTAACCTGATAGCAATAGTTGTACACCAAACTATTTCAATCTCTTAATCCAAAGGAAAATTTTGAAAGAAAATTTGACAGGAAAAGAAAATCATGTTTGGAAATAGTACCATCATTCTTGTTAATCATGCATCGCCCAGTCTGATCTACCATAAAATGATGAAGCAACATATGGATTTTTTAAAATTCACTAGGTGGAAGTTATAATTGAGAAGATTAGATCAGATCTTTCAAGAGAAAAACTTTACATTAATAAGAAGGAAGCATACCTTGAATTTTGTTTTAGCTCCCCAAATGACAAATGTCTCATTACAAGTATAGTGTCTGTGGTTTCCTCTCACACCACTTGGTTGAATTTCACCAAGAAGTACTGATGCACAAGACACAGCACCACTTGTAAGAGAATGCAATCTTCTTCAAGAGGGGCAAAATGAATAAGGAGACTAAAAAGCACAATCAAGGACTCAAAATGAAAAAGGAATATATATTGCCTATGGTTTAATATCAAAGAATGAAGGCTCCAACCTCCACTCAAAAAGAGCATGGTCACAAGTAAAAAAGAAAAGGCTATATTTTAAAAGGCTACAGTCCTTTCATAATATACTTTGACTTGTATTTGATAATTGATATAGAACTTTATAAAGGAAAACGTATTTTTTTAACTTTTATGGAAACAATTTCTAGAAGTTAAAATTCTGAACTCATCATCACGGCAAACAACCTAAACTTTCAATATCAGGGGCTACCAATTGCAAATTCCAGTACCCAAAGTCTAAACCATTCAATCATATGAAGCCTAATGGCAATTCAAGCCATTCTTCCCGAAAAAATAAGCCTCACAAATCATTATGACCATGCAAACTAACAAAGTTAAAAAGGTCAACTTGATGCATACAAGAGTGCACATGGCTATATAACTAATTAAATAAACACCACGATCCAATCTTCACACATTTAATTTCCTATAATCCAAAGGCAATCTAAATAAATCTCAACCCGCTTTGCAGGTATGATCTCTTATTTCTTTCACAAATCCAAAGCAACTAAACTAGCTCAATTCAACCTTAGGATTAGAGGTTCTAACTCCAGGTTTCTCTAATCACTACAATCACCTTAAAAGAATCCAATATATATAAAAATTATCATAATGGTCAAGGACATTCCACCCTTAGGCATTTGAAGACAATAAGAACCAAAAGCACATATTTTGAATAAAATCATAGCATATACATACAGGAAGGACATTGAGGCATTGAAGAATTGGCCACACAAATTTTATACATACAAGTTAGAGGCACAGAGACAGATATGAACCTTTAACACTAGAATTAAGCGCAAGAGTTTTGGGATTAAGCAACCACCCATGCTTGTCCTTGGTAATGGAATAAGGGAACCCAACTTTGAATCTAGCAAGATTAGCCTTATGATCATCGTCTTGGCTCCATTTCTCATGGGTTGTCAGGAAACCATGAGAAGGAGAATATAGCTACAATCTGAGGAAGACCAGTGTCAACAAAAGAAGCCTTAAGAGTAGGAAAGGGAAGGCTTGAGGCTTCTTCAAGAAATGGGTAAGAGATGAGAGTGAAGACGTGGTTTGAGTTTGAAATGGGTCCTCGTTGGAGTATGAATTTCTTCTAAGGTTCACCATTATCTGCTTGCATTCGCATTCTCTTTGCTGCTCCTGCGAGCTCTGCTTTGATATTCCATGTCTAACACCTACCTATTTTTGGAATTACATTCTCTTATTTTCCTTTATATTTATTACTTCTATTTATTGGAAATTAAGAAAGTAAATTGGGTAATAAATTGTCTATTAATTTATTTTGTTTTCAAACAAGGACAAAGATAGTGTAGGGATGTTGAGAGCTAGGTGTTTAAAATATGTTTACAAA